GCCCTCGACCTGGCGCGTGCCAACCTAGCAAAAGCGCGGGCTGGTCAGAATGCTCAATACGACCGGTTACATCGGGACATCCATTACGATGTCGGCGATCTCGTCCTCAGGCGCAATCACGTCTTGAGTGACGCCGCCAAAGGCATCTCGGCCTCCCTTTCGGCCAAGTGGTTGGGCCCATACCGAGCGCGCACCAAAGTGTCGCCCCTGGTATACAAGCTGGCTGACTCCCAAGGGAGACCAGTCGGCGATCCAGTTAAATGTCTCCGACCTCAAACCTTTTGTTGCCCGCAGCAACGACTTCGGGGAAGGGGAGGCGGTCACCGAAACGCAGGGAAACCGGGATAAGGCTGGTTCCAAACCACGCCACTGGTACAACCTGCGAAAACGCACATAGGCTGATTTTCGCCTCCGGCATGTAGCGGGATGTTATCCCCTCCATTAAGGGAGCGGCCTCCGGCATGTAGCGGGACGTTATCCCCTCCATGTAAGGGAGCGGAGATTTATAGCTGCTGAGCGAGAGCCCATCCAGCAGCAACAGTAACGGCTACCTGGCGAGCTTTCTCCCTGGGAACACCATTACACGCGCTGCGCGCGGGATATCCATCCAGTTCCCAGCGCTCCCAGCTGCTGGAGAGAGAAAAAAAAAGCCCTTTCCCCGGTGGCTCACTCTCTCACTGGGTATCTTCAGCGTAGTCGGCGGGAGAAGGAAAGCGTGCGCCCTATTGGCTCACACAACCTTCAATCCGACGGAGTAGGCTCTCTTTATTAGGCCAGCTCGTCGCGCCTCCGGGGCCGCACCTTCAGTTGCGTTTCTGCTTTTCACCGTTTTCATCGACACCCCAGCTTTCGTTATGTCCTCCTTGATGGCCCGTTCCTCCAAGAAAAAGCCTGGGAGACCAGCTGCGCGCTCGGTTGTTCAGCAGGCACTGGCCGCGTCCATGCCGCCTCCGTCGAATGCTCCCCCAGCCCCGGCTAACAAGACGCTGCCTCGTCGTGAAGTCGCTACATGGACGTTCCAACATGGCACTGAGGCCCCCTTTGCCTTCGTGTCGACTCGTCGCTGGTCCAAGCAACGCAAAGTCTGGGTGGGGGTAGACCCCGAGTGCGTCCCACGTCCTTTCTGCGGACGCACCCTTTCGGACCTGCTCGACGCTTCCGGAGGTGCGTCGATGCCGCCTGTTCCTGAGGCCTCCTACTGCGACGCTTGTGGTGTCGTGCTGGTGCAGGAGGCTACCCTCCTCCGTTCTCTGGTTCACCGAGCGAAGTCCGGCGGTGCCCCTGCGGTCCTGTCCACCCCTGCGATGCCGCCTGGCCCTGGCCTTCGACCTGCCCTGTCGACTGACTCCGTTCAGGCGGTCGTGGTGGTGCTCGTCACGGACTCTTCATTCAAGTCAGCCACCGCTGCTGCGGTGTCTGCCGCCCTCCCGCGGCCCCAGGTTCTTGCTGAGATGCCGCCAAACGAAGACACCGGGACCCCTGTCGATCTCGGAGACGGCCCTGAGCTAGACCTCAGTTTTTTCGGTGTCGGTGGATGCTGTTATTATGGCGTCTTTAGGGCGGCCTCGGTCTTAAGAGGGGGGGGGATGTGGGAATCGAGAGCGCCCTCCTACCTGGCGCCTCGTCCCAGCTGCCGCGCGCGCACCGACAGTGTAGCCCGGGCGCGCATAAGCACCGGCATCCGCCAAGATGGCTGCCAGGGCGCCTCTTGGTCTGGGCCAGTCAACTGTCGGCTCCTTCCCGCGCTGGCATGTTCGGGCACGCTACGCTGCCGTGCTGCGCGGGCTACGTCACAACAGCAGCGCCATTTCCCTTTGGGCGCGCGTGACATCCTCCTCTCCTTCGAGCTGTGTTGCACCCGACGATTCGCTCCTCGCGGCAGATGCTCTCAGGCCTCCACGAGAGGTTGACGCCCTGCTTAGCAGGCGGCTTCTCGTTCGTGCATTCGACTTCGGCCCTTGTGCGGGAGTCGTCGCGCCCTAGGCAAGCGTACTTGCTCGGTCTTGCGGAGTACCCTATACGGCCTGCGAGCCCGTGAGTGTCGCACTGTGCTGCATCTTGGGTTGATAAACTCGTTGTTGTTGTTATCCTGCCTCATGCGTGGTTTCTGCGCCGTGCCTGGAGAAATCGACGAATCCGGCCGCAGCGTCTTCGCACGCTGCGGCAGTGGAGGACAGTCGCATCTCTACACGGTTGCACTTAGTAGGTAAGCCTAGTGCAAACCTATCTCCACAATCTTCGACAGGTAAACAAAGCTGTCGTAGCAGATAGCTTTCCCCTCCCTCATACTGAAGAGCTAGTGCATAGTCTAGTGGGGGCAACCCACATTTTCAAGCTTGACCTTGCATCAGCTTAACATCAGGTCATGCTTCACCCCGAGAGCCGGGATTTAATGGCTTTTATAACACTCGAAGGCCTGTTTCGTTTTAAGCTCGTTTGTTTTAGGCTCGCATCGGCACCATCTGCTTTTGAGAATATGATGTTGAAAATTCTGCAGGGCTGCAGTGGCGTCCTGTCCTATATCGATGACATCATTGTGTTTGGGAAGGGCAGAGAGGAGCACGTGACGAATCTCACCGCAGTGCTGAGGTGCATAAAAGAGGCAGGACTCAAATTGAACATGAAATGCGTCATCGATACACCGGAGCTTGCGTTCTTGGGCCACAGAATCACCGCAAACGATATTGTGCTTTGAAGGAAAAAGGTTGCTTCCATGCGAGACACTCCAGCGCCTATGGATCCAGCCAGCCTTCAATTATTTCTGGGAATGGTCGAATATTATTCTAGGTTTATTCCCAATTTCGCTGACATGGTTGAACCAATGCGTGCCCTGCTAAGAAAGAGGCAGGGATTCGTTTGGTCTGACGAGATATACGCTAGTTTCAGAAAGACCAAAGACGCGCTGGCATCTAGCTCTATACTGAGGATGTTCGATGAATTTCTTCCTGTCTTATTGTCGACGGACGCATCAGAGTGTGGAGTTTGAGCGGTCCTACAGCAGGTGGACGAACATAAACTGCACACTGTCGCTTTCGCGTCTCGAGTTCTTTCGCCAGCTGAGAGGAAATATTCGGTAGGAGAACGGGAAGCGTTGGCCTGTGTTTGGGCGTGCGAGCGGTGGCACGTGTACTTGTGGGGACGCCACTTCACGTTGCTCACTGATCATCAAGCTTGGTAGCATTGCTTTCAACCCAAGGAACAGGAAGGCACCCCTTGCGGGTAGGGCGATGGACAGAACGCCTACTACGGTACAACTATATCGTCGAGTACCGCAGGGGGTCGCAAAACCAAGTGGCGGACGCACTCTCACGCCTGTCCGCGTCGTCTTTCCAGGAAGAAGAAACACTGTTTGACGAGGTTGTATCAGTTCTCGAAATGCCTTCCTGCATTACCAGAGAACAGTTTGAGCAGTTTGAGTAGTCCCAATTGTAAGATAGCGCACTGCAACAAAGCAAAATCTATGTGCAATCGTCGTGGCCTGCACACAAATCGTTATTGGCCGAGCTTCAGCCATTCTTCAAAGTATGTGACGAACTTTCTGTAGTAGACAATCTGATTTTGCGTGGCACACGGCTTGTGGTTCCCACGTCACTCACGCAGCAGGTAATCGCTGCAGCACATGAGTCGCATCCCGGAGTGGTGCGAACAAAAGCGCGGCTGCGAGAAAAGTATTGGTGGCCGGGCATGGACCGCCAAGTCGAGCTAGCTATCCAGATGTGTAGCATATGCCAGGAAGCAGACAAGAGCATCAAGGTGCGAGCTACACCTTTGCAACCGGTCCCCTTTCCAGAGCAGCCGTGGCTCAAACTAGGCATGGATATCGTAGGCCCATTTGAGAGGGTGCCCTACGATTGCAGATATGCAATCACGCTTGTAGATTATTATTCCAAATGACCCGAAGTGCATTTCTGTAGTGAGACGACAACGAGCACAGTAATACGCTTCTTAGTCTCTGTGTTCGCGCGCGAAGGCTACCCAGAAGAGGTTATTTGCAATAACGGTCCTCAGTTTGCATCTCGAGAGTTGGAGGCACTTCTTCAAGATCGCAGCATGCAGGTCAAACATTCGACAGTATACTATCCACAAGCAAACGGCATACTATCCACAAGCAAACGGCCAAGTGGATAGCTTTAACAAAGTATTAAAAAGCTTCATGCAAGTGGCGGTTCTTGAGCAGCGACCCTTGCACCAGGCGGTAACAGAGTACCTGGGTGTTTACCGATGCACACCGCATGCTACAACGACCAGGGCTCCAGCTCATCTGCTACACGGGCGGCTGCCAAGAACTCGGTTGGATGTCGTCGGGCATCCGTCGGTAACCTTCTTTGATGACCCTAGCTCAGAACTCCGGCGTTTACGTGAGCGGGTAAAGCAAAAGCGACAGAGCAGCAAACGATACACGGACAGGGGGCATGCATAAGAAGCTTGCCGAACAAGCTCTAAAGAAAAAAAAAATGAAAGCAGCTTCACACTAGGAGAGCAAAACCTGAAGCAAGTGCGAAGCTGAGCAGCCTTTATCTTTGGTCTTTCTCTCTGTTTGCTCGTGCTGTTCTTAGTTTTTTCTCTCTATTTTTGTATCTATCTTCCACTCTCTTTATCTATTTCTTTCTATTTATTGCTTTTGCTATTGTCTTTCTAGTTTATTTCTTTTTCTATTTCGCACTTGCCTCCTCTTTTTCTAACATTTTTATACATGGTCTTGCCTGCATTAAGTCAAATGACAATGGCATAGGACAGCCTGGCCTCTAAAGTGCTCCACTCTTAATACTTCTTTTTGAAAAGCTTTTTTTTTTTTGTGTGTGTGTGTGTGTGTGTGTGTGTGTGTGTGTGTGTGTGTAGCAAGGTATATTTGTTAATCATTTGTATTTAAATTGGAACAACAATTTATGTGTGCAGAAAAAGGTGAGCAAGTGCTATATTTTTGTGAGGCATTGTGAAACGTCTTGATACTTTCCTTAAGAACCTTCTGCTGAAGCTGTGTGTGTGCTACCCGGGTACAGGACCACGTTTTGTTTGCCGCTGGACGAGCGGCTAGACGGGAGCCTGGAGTGCTGCCTGTGGACGCCCTACAACAAGCAGGCCGTCCGTGGGAAGCTCTACCTGTCGCCAAACTACATTTGCTTTGAAAGCCGGGTGAGCTTCCTGAAAAGACAAGATAATATGTTGATGTTCTATATCGGCCACTACTCTTTTGTCCTAAAGTAGCTGGGACACAGCTCAGCACAGTGCATATAATGTACTAGGCTATCCTTCTCTTTCATTGAATTTTGGAGATTGTTAGCTTCATGTATATCTATAAAAATGCTACTGAAGAAAGTTAGTTACTGTCTTAATGAAGGCAATTCCCCAGGTCGAAACATTGGAAACAGTGACTAAGACGAAGGTCGTGTGACCTATGTTGATAATGACGTGCTGTGACGTAACACCAAGGATGTCATAACATTTGATACAGGATGTCAAATATGGCTTAAAGGACCACTGACACAGAACTTCGAAAGAGAGATAATGAGTGAGATAGACTTATGTAAAGACATAAACATCTACGAAATATCAAGCACAGATTATGGGGGTGCTGACACCTCCTGTAAAGTTGTTTGTGCGGCGTGGCGCACGTGTCTCGCACAGAAGCCGTATTTTGGGGGTGACAATCAACGGGCGATAGATGGCATTGTGTTCGCGTTGAGCACCACTATTGTCATCTGGGTGGTAGAGTGGTAGCGCCGGCGGTGACCTTTGGTGGAAGCAAGCCTTGGTGGAGGGCGAGAGTAGAGCGAGCCTCTTCTGTGCGTGGCGGTTGCCGCGAGCGGTTCTCTCGCGGTGGGTCTGCCGTGGACGGCACCGTGGGCCGCCTGGGGTAGGCCCACGTGGTGGGGGAAGCGTTGGCGACGCTGCCTTTTGTGTGCTCTTGTGTTATGTTGTTTGAGTGTATGGTAATAGTGTGTACGGTTGTCCTAGTGTGTTAATTATGATTGATGTATCATCTGGCAGACGATATCATTGTTATAAATTAGTTATATAAATGTATGTAGTTCTGTGGTTTGTACCGACCGTGTCCACTGTGTCCGTTCACTCCATGAGCGTGGTGGTGTAGCTCGCCAAATTCGAGACCCCACAAGGTGTAGCCTAGAACTTACTTATAATCGGTCTTAAAGTGCGTGTCGCGACTGAGCAAGTTGCCTAGTGCCTTGCAACGCCAGCATCAATGTGGCAGCAATGTAAACAAACCTGTATCGTGAGTTTGTGTTGGCTGGTTGCTTGCACTACCTCCAATTTCTTCCTCTGTGCCCGCGGCTTTGCGTGTGCTGGCTGTGCTGGCTGTCGGTGCGGCACCCGCTTGCTTGCACTTCTGGACATGGCGCCCACGTCACTGTTATGCGTGATCACCTGGCCAGCTGCGTTTACCTTGCCACCGGAACTGCTCTTGCCTAACGCGGTGCTCGTTGAAACCAAAACTGCGGCTTGGCACTCGAAAGGTGTCTATAAAAATTACTGTCGGGCTCTCACGCAAACAAGGTTTCCAGCCATGATAAGTCAATCATATGCTACCTATTGCAACAACAACAAAAAAGTGCAATTGTTTTCTTGTCAAGGCTCCTTTAGTGGTCAATGCAATCGATATTAGAGTGAACCGAGAACCTGAATGTTAATTCCGGTCTCTCACAACGTAACTCACGCCTTTTGTGAGTCTGGCCCTCACTGCATAACTTTATCTATTATCAAACGTCGACCAGGCTTTTGCCTTCAAGTTCTGCACAAAACATAGCATGCTTAAGAAATGTTCATCACCTCAGAAGGCCAAATGCATAGCACACAATCGATTGAGTTGAGAAAGCTTCTTTGGTAAAAGCAATTTAAGTGGGCCAAAATGGTCGTGTTGAGCTACTAGCCACCACCCTTCAAACCACCAGCAAGCTAAGTTCAACGGCCTCGTTGTGCCGGTAATGAAGCTGTTTCTTTCTCTTCAATTGTGTGTCATCAGGGATGTCTCCGTGTTGCAGGTCAAAAACCTGGTGTGTCTGGTGATCCCCCTGCGGCTACTCCAGGTTACCGAGAAGGTAGACAGTCACCACTCGCTCTCAAATGCACTCCTGCTCACCACTAGGAACAAGGTGTGTGCGCCAGTGTCGCAGATGTTCTTGATTAGTTGCTAATGCAATGTGAAACTCTGTGGAGCTGTTCAATGCATCATAATGTCAAGGATGCCATAGTAAAGTGCTTCAGATTTATTTGGACCACCAGCACTTCTTTAACGTGTGGCCAAAAAGGCACTCAAGCGAAACACATAGTACTGTTAAAGCCTGCATATAGTCTGAGGGGTATTCCTGGGAAAGCAAACCCTAATATAGATTGTGAAAAACAGAAACTAAATGCATTTATTCACCCACCAATTCATCGCCATTCGACACATTTTATTCTTAAACCCCCCTGCCAGAGATGTCCTCCCACAGCACCTCATCTTCATGTCATCAAGGGCGTCTTAAATCAAGCAATTCTTGAGAGCACAACGAGTAACCACCTTAGCAGTGCAGACCCAGTCTTCGGCGGTTTATGTGCACAGCGTCCCTGGTGAGGCCCGTTTCAGCTGTCCGGCAGGAGTCACTTTTGCCTTTCCATACCTTATTCACTTACATCCACTCCATATGTGGGCATGATGGGGTCCTTCAATGGTTTATTTCAACGCACATCAAGGGCCCGAAGTAGGGATGTGCGGGGTGATTGTGAATTCTGCATGGGAGTTGCGCAGCAGTCGCCTTGTGGAATTGACACTGAAACGTGTTGAGAGTGAATATTAATGGTAGCCCTGACAGTGCTTCATTGCACAAAGTCCGTCAGTTCTCATTGAGCATCGGAAAATGCTCTATTTTTCGACTCCCGAAAACTTTTCTGGCCGCTGCGCACAAAGAGGGTTTCCTTCTGTTTCCCCTAATGGCGAATACTTTGCTTGTGTGCTCAAACTGCCGTCCTGCAAAACAGTTGCCTATGGTTCAGGCAGTTGACGTCACCTTTCCTTTAATGGCAGCCGAGTACTGTTGTCATGGTCCTCACATTGCATAGAGTCATGGCTATCGGCATGTAGGACTAACGCTAGCACTACCCATCGCAGAGGCCTAATGAGGGTGATAGCGTCGGACAATGCCGAAACTGAAAGTGCTCGGCTGAAACTTCTTGGGATCTGAACAGAGTACGAAGCTGGAACTCTGCATAAAAACTAGAAAAAAAAAACGCTCATCCCTCTTTCTAGCAAGCGGTATAACTCGAAAATAAACATGTCTTCATAGAGGTAGTCTAGCATTCATTGCGCATTATTTCGTCCCAACGGCGAAGGAACAAAGGCTACAGCAATCCCTGTTGCGCGAAGAATGGCGAGCAGCTCGAAGCATGAAGCGCACACCTCAAGCGGTAAGCACGTACAAAATGAGCATACACAAGGCGAGCCAGGCTAACAGCTGTCACAGCTCAACACTTAAGCGCGCTGTGCAAGCAGAAATAAAGATGCATGAAACGAGTGCAAAAGCATACACAGGACAAACGCAACCTACTGTCACAATTCCTATTTCTTCGTGTGTTAACAGCGTGCTCTTTTCGTAAACGCGGCCGTGGCAGCAAACGAAGTGACCTTTTGCTCTCTCAAATCACGAGTCTGATGAGCACATGCTCAGGAAAGACCACGTTCTGTGACAAGAGCACTCATCAGAACGCGAGAGGCGAGGACTTTTAGAGCGCGCCCAACACGAGAACTTTGCGCCATCTCGCTACTGATGACAAAAACACGCTGAAGTTGCAGAGCTTTGAGAACTGCCAAACAGTGTGTGGGTGTATATAAGTGGCTTTCCGTGAGCAGTTTCGATAATGTTCGCTCTTTGGCCTAATGGTTAGCGCCGCGTGCTGCGGATCAATAGGTCGCTGGTTCAACACCCGACGACGGAACTTTTCTTTCTCGTCTTTAGGGGCAAAGCTCCTTATGGGTGCGGCTTGTACGTCCCCCTTGTGGGTAACCGCCCCTCGTTAATTCTTGAACCGGCCATATAGGGCAGTAGCTGTACTATATGCTGAAAAATGCAAATGTTAAGACACTAGAGGGTGTTACTTGTTGAAAAGGAGGATTGATGTCACATATACGGAAGGAGAGAGGGACATCGCACGACTACGATCGCATGTTCTTTGGTGGCGCTATATGCCAGGGAGCGCACTATAGTACAATAAAAGTGGCGTGTTGGCGCGCACGTGCATTTAGAAGTGCGGCAATGGACAATGGACAAGGCTGCTTAGCGGCATGCGCGCACAACGGCTGCGGCTCGCGCTCGAAGAGGGGACCCGAACTTGCGGCCGTGCGAGGCAGAAGCGCGCCACGAGGACCTTACATTACGACAACGGGAGGCCGAAGCGGTGCGGCAGCAGCATGCGGACCTAGCCTCCCCCCACTCTTTATCATTCACCCCGTTGATATGCTGTCATTTTTTTTCTTTGCAGTCTGTTAGTATACATTTTACAACATCATATCCATGACGGAACTTTATCAGCGGAGCCATGGTAGAGCCGTGGTAGGAAAAAACCGCTAATTATACACTGGTTTTTACGGTAAGTTTATCATGAATTACCACTCAAAAACCCTACTGTCACTAATTTTGCCATTATAGGCTCAGTATTAACAGAGGATATTAAAGAGTAAGTTTTACCTCTGAAAACTCCATATTTTTTATATCCTTGACAAGATCGACAGCTATGTAACCTCCTGAAATGTGCCATGTCAAGTCTGCAACTTCCCTAGAACACAGTGTAAACCACTTTCAGCGATTACTGAAATAGGCCGATAATGTTGAAAGTTGGGCTAGTTGATAAGGTGGCAGGTTTATTTACAGCATAAAAACAACGAAGACGCATGTGGGTGATACATGCGTAAGTCAAGCATCGTTGGCCTATCTGCTCAGCATGTGGTCCGATAGGTGATATGCAATGTTTCTTTCCCAACTATTTTTAACACTGCTGTGCAATGTTGGTGCTTTCTTTTTTTTACCGTCATGAGTTTTTCGAATAAATTTTTTCAGTTTCAAGTCAATGACTTGTCTGTGTCCCTTTTGTTTTACTGACATCATTGTTTTTATGCTGTATGTAAACATGCTTAGGTAGGCTCTTCCAGACATCAAAATCTTTTACGGCGAGTTTATGCATGAATTTCAAGGCAGCATCACTATCTGTAGTTTTTTTTTGCGAGTTTTCTGACTTTTCAAGCAATCCTCCTGCAGCCATAGTGTTGTTGTTGGGTTCGTGAGATGGTAATTTACGAAATACTAGTGCAATAATTTTTATCTTTAGTAGCATCCGTTTGAAACAGGTCACATGGATATTCTGATGGGCCTGTCATCAGAATTCAGTCGGCAGACCAAGGAATTGAACTTGCAGCCACTTAGCCATCCCTGCAGGGTTGAGTTGGCAAATTGTGGCAAAGAAGCACATACTCACTTTCAATTAATGTCACATGTGGCAAATTAAACATTACAAAAGGCTGTCGCAGTCGCAAAAGCAACACCTCAGCATTGCCCCAGCAAGACGGCCATAGTACTCCACGCTGTTGCATCACACTTACATCGAAATCATATTTAAAGGCGCCCTGGAACACTTTTTTAAGCAGCTGTGGAATGGATTCACTAAAGGAGCTCATTGCCTCACAAATTCACTGCCGCAAAACTTTTTAGAATCCGTCCAGTACGAGCGGAGTTACAGATTCGTTGCACGCTGCAACCACATTCTCTCTTCTCTCGTCTCAAGGAAAACGCTGGAAGTCAAGCAGGAAGGGATGGCACGGGCGAAGAAAATACGTAACACGCACCTTGTGACCTTGAGCACTTTTTTTTTTTTACGAATACGCGGCTTCTTCAGTGCGATCGCACGTGCACGCGTGGACAAGTCGCGGCCTCCCACAGCGATCTCTGTAACGACAGAGCGCGCCATGTTCAAATCGGCCAACGGCTGATAAAACGGCTGTGACGAGTGATTTTTAAGTTAGTACCGTCGTTTGTTGAGAGAAGAGAAAGCAAGAATCCCGGCTGCGGCGGCTTCATTTCCAATGGAGGCAAAAATGTTTCAGGCCCGTGTACTCAGTGCACTTAAAAAACCCCAGGTGGTCAAAATTTCCGAAGCCCTCCACTACAGCGTCTCTTATAATCATGTGGTGGTTTTGGGACGTTGAAGGCCACATATCAATCAAGAAGAGAAAGCAATCCATAGTTGACTTTGAGAGTTTATTGGGAATTCTAGGCCGCATGCTGTCCTATAACCTTCGCGTTGTGTGTTCTCGGGAGACTCGAATACCGATCGATAGCGTTTTCTGGTCATGCTCAAAAACTTATGCAGGGCGCCTTTAGTGTTGCCAGCTCTGTCTTGTGGTTGTGCAACATGTACACACGTGGCTACATGTGCAGGATTGTGAAAGCATCTAGCTGAAACTATAGTGGCGTTCACTGCCTGAATTCACAACTAAACTGCCAGCAACTTGTAAAGCATTGGGCAATTGTTGCAGCAAAAGTGACCTTGCAAGCTCGCAATTGATTTGAAAAATTCTTTCCCCTTTGCAGTTTAAGTCACATTACAAATTGGTTTCAAGCATTTGAAGCATAGAAAAAGCCACTGCGTTCGTTTTTCACTAACAGTTCTTTTATCCGCATCGTTGGCAAAACCAGAGCACGTTTCGCCAATGGCTCACATCTCCGTGCAAAGCAGTGCATTATTTCATTCCTCACCGATGACTGGGCAATAAATTATGCTGGTGCTTTTTCTCCAAGTACTTATAAATGTTTAGAGGGACCCTAAAAAAAAATAATGACTTGGTTTAGATTGACAAACTGCACTCGTGAGAACTCTAATGCCATGTGTTAAACTGCCATAAGTTCACTACAAGCGAAGAAAATCAAGTTCCAAGTTTCAATTCATAATTTCATGCTGAACTCTCTGTGTGTGACGTCTAAAACTTCCAAATGTATTTCTTGCATTTTTGCAATATTAGCTGGATCAAATTTTCTGAAACATTGTATGCTAGCTCTATGGCACCCACAAATAACAATGTGCGTCGTTTTTTTATTGATTAGAAGCCACGTAGGACCCAGTAGATGCCTGCAAAATTTATGACGTCACGGTGTTTGGTGCAGGAATCACGAGGTGGCGTCCTCACCCTCATTTTCTTGCTTGGCAAGTGTCATTTCACAGTAAGAGTGGTGTTTTGGGATTGTGATATTGTACTTCACTAATACTCGAAAAATCGTTTTGCTTTGTAGTATCCCTTTGAACTTAATTGAGAAATTTGAATGGAGAGCAGTCAGTAGTTAGACACAAAGCATTTTCTTGAAACTGTTGCGATAAGAGTTCTGTGAGTTCGTTCTGTGTCTTTGCTATGACGACGTGCTCATTTGGCCTTTTTAACGCTGTTCTGTGAAAACATGCTCGTTTCCCTGCAGGTGAACTTCCTGTTTGCTCAAATCGAGGGGCGGGACTTCCTCATCGAGAAGATATCCGAGCTGCTTGCCAAGATTCCCCAGCCCGAGCAGTACGTTTTATCATTATTACAAGAGTCTCTGATTTCAGTGCATTAACTTTTTCTTGCCCTTTATATTAAAACTGCATGCGTGCGCAACAAACGCTTTTTCAAAAAGCCTTAGTGGGAACGCAAGTGCATAAAATGTGGCTGGGGTAACAAAGAGCACGTGCATTTCAGTTCCCAAGTGTTAACACATGATAGAGGTAGGTCCAATCCCGATTTAACTACAAGAGAGAAGTGACCTCCGAGGTAAGTGAGAGTGATATGTGCAGGTTGGTGACGTTTTAGTGAAGGTCACTTGGCAATCATGGAGTCGGTTGGTGAGCGATTACTATGTTGCTGTACTTGGCAATCACAGTTTGATTACGTAAAATTTGCACCATTGCTAATAATTAGCGCTGTGCGAGTAGCAAAATTTTGGATGCGATGCGAGTTGGAATGTGGAAGTTTGAGTGCCCATTGATTTCAATATTGTTTGATTATTTCTCAAATATTTTTCAAATACTTCGAAGCAAAATTACAGGAAAAAGTTATAGAGGATCCCTAAGCATAATTTTTGAGATAGCATAGTGAAAGCACTTGTCTCGGTTGAGGAAGGGTTTCTGGCTGTCTTGTCATAAGGCAATGCAGAGGCGGAACTATATTGAATATTTACACGATTTAAGGCTACTGATGTGATGTCGACATCACTTCACACATGAAAGGAAAAGGCACCATCTCTTGGACCTCTTTCAACCCCTGCTCAGGCCCAACTTACGCGATGGACAAGGGCATGCTCTCTTCGAGTTCATAGTTGCCAATTCACCCTGTAGACATCAATGTATAAAAATACCTGAAATTTCGGATGCAGAAATTCTTTAGTGTCCGATTTTTCGGACTTTCTGCCCAAGTTTCTGGTCCGAAACGGTTTAATTAAAACCCTCACCTATGCCGCATCTGTCACTTGGGTGGTTTTAAGCGGCGCTTTCGCGAGTCTGTTCGTTTGCTATCGTAGCAGAGCCTGGAAGGCAGCTTTGATGCACTACCAGAGTGTGATGGGATGAGGCATACTGAACATTTCAAGGGGCCACTGTCACGGCGCAGTGCGGCAACGTCTTTGCAGAGACGTACCGGAAATGCATGAAGACGTGATGGCAGCAGGCGGTAAATGCGCCAGTACGGCTTGATCCTTGGCAACTCACAGCTAACAGCTCAGTAGAGCAGGTGGCGTGGCGAAGTGTGTACAATTCAAATGTACCACGCCGCCGTTCACTTCTTCATTCAAGACAGCCGAGTGTGCCGCACAGACACATTGCCTTCACGTGATGCCGTACAGTTAGCGCCTCGGCAGCGACGATGTCGGCCTATTTGGGGATGTACGATCGGCTTCATGCGGCATTCGGCAACTGTTTACGTGCCCACATGCACAGGCAAAAGCCAGGAAGAGTCATTGGCTCTTCCACCAGTCTTTGTATCATTGTTTCCAACCAATCCATGCCATACAGCCATAATATACCCCACGCAATGCTGGTATTAGCGGCATACATCACGAGACACAAACTCAAGTAGGTAGCGAGGTTTGCGGCAAGTACCAAATGTATTTGGAGATCTTGGGCATGCACCAAAGTGCCTGATATACTGGGAGACATTAAGGCTATTGCAGACATAGCTATGGCAATTTGAGTTTGGGTGTAATAAAAATGCATGAATACACTTTTTTCGGGCTGGCCCATTTTTTAGACAATTTCGCAGTCCCCAGGGAGTCTGAAAAATCGGACTTTGTATATTTACCGTCAAAAAGTTTGAATAGTTAGAATACTAAAATTGCAGCAGGACTTGATTGAATAACTAACAATATAAAAAAATATTCGTAGGTATGGATATTCACACACCCCTACGAATAATAGTTTACATTGGCATTATACCTCTCAAACTTTCTTATTTCTGTCATGAAAACATGACTTATTTCTATATTTGTGTCCTTAGTTTAACATGGCCCGTACAAAGCTGTAACATCAAGTAATGCAGAAACATTTACCGAATATTTTTCTTGTGTTCGTAGAATGACTGGCAGTTGCAGCTAGGCACCGTTTTTGAATGGCTGCAGTGCCAGATTTTATATATTTAGCTCGTGCATATTAAGTCTGTAATTATGTGTGCCTACGGCATTATTAACAAAATTAATGAGAATAAATATTGTAGTATGCTTTCTGCCATTTTGGTGTTACCTCAAATGGCAGCTGTTGATGCCACTGTTAGCGTTATTCATTTCGTGCATTTCTTGAAAAGCGAGCTTCTGCTCAACTACTACAAATGTTATAAGTAGGCTCAGCTGTAGTTTACAAATGTTCTTGTTTGCCTCCAACTCCAGAATTTCATGTCCAGAGGATGACAGTACGTCCCTGGCATCTTCAAGTGAGTATGCAGCTTGTTTGATTTCTTGCAAGACAATAAAAAAAATGGGAAGGGGGAGAAGGGGTCTGGTGCGGCAGCTCGGTGAGCCACGTTATGGGCAGCATAAATCAGTTGTGGTCCTTCAAAGTTATGGGATGTGTTCCGTATGCAGAGAAACATGAAGTATGGTCAAAGACAATGGGGAGTTTCAGGGTGTGTCGTTTAATGAGGAAGTTTTCGAATGTAATATGGTATGAGCTTGTCGAGAGAGAATTAATGGGGTGCCACCACAGTTTACCAAGTAATAATCGAGTGACCTATCAAAATTTATTCGTCCGCAAATTGACTGCCGCAAAGATTTTTTGAATCCATTGAGTACAAGCGGAATAGCAGAGATTTGTCATACCTCTAAGCGCTTTTTCTTTCTTTTTTGTCAGTGAACATGCTGAAAGCTACACGGGGGTGTTATGTATGACGAGAAGACAAGAAGCCATATTTCAGTGTGTTTCGTCACTTTGGCAACTGCCTGTTCTTTTTTTTTTTTTTTTTTTAATGCACGGCCCGTTTTCTCACTCTCAGTGTGGTGGTCACAAGTGGGCTATGTAGAGCATAGCATGGGCCCATTGCTGGACACCATAGTTAAGGAACGACGTGGCAATGAAAACTAGCCTTGTTACTTATGAAAGTAAAGTAATGAAATTTTGCATGCAGATGTGATTTGTTGTGCTGATATCATAACGACAGTCGGTTTTGAGCTATCTAATGTAGCTTTTAAGTTACAATGCTTGGTAAACTCTCATTGTCATTCCAAAATTAACTAATACATTTGCTCATCTAAGTTTTTGCTTAAGAATATTCACAAGGGCCCATTCTATGCCGTAATGCTATTACAGTCAAATCTCAATACTTCGAACGCGCTTAATTCGAACTTCCGGTTAATTTGAACTCATGATAAGGTCCCGTCAAAGCTATGTGTATTCCAATAAATGAAAACGCCCGGTAATTCGAACGCGCAAGCACTTGCGACGGTTAATTCGAACATACCGTGCTCCAAAAATTCTCTCAGCACCCTGCCCAATCGCGCGGCGGTACCTGCGACACCTCAACGCTGGGCGCGAAGGAAAGGAAAAAGAAAGAAAAGGCTGCGGTGGATTGTTTGCTCTCTCTCAAATGCCGATCTGCGATGCGCCTGTGTCACGCTTCTCTCTTTTCTATCCCTGCCACGTAAAGACCCTTCTCCTTCCAAGGCACGAAAAGAGGGAGAAAAAAAAAAAAGCTGTTGCTGGGTTGAATGAATGTGTGGTTGAAGGAAAAGAAAAAGGCACTATCTTCTGCAGCCTTTGCCCCTTACGGGGAGGGGGGGAGGGGTCTCTCATGCGCCTGTGCTACACTTCCCCCTTCTTTTCCGTCCCTGCCACGTAACCCTTCTCCTTTCAACGACGCACGCGTGCGAAGAGAGCAAAAAAAAAAAAAAGAAACAAGAGCTGCTCTGGAGTGTTGGTTCTCTCTCAAATTCCGATCTGCTCTCCGCGTGGAGACGCTCCTCCTTTCTCGTCATGTGCCGGCCATGCTGCGGCTATGCTACGCAGTCATTGTTGTCGTCATCTTTAGAAAGTGTCAGCGCTGGACATTTTCGCCCGCAACTTCTCTTGCCAGGAGAATGCTGAAGCCGAAGTAGAAATGCTTTGGAAGCTGCGTGCGAAATCAATTGACTTGCTGCAAGGCAAACGTGTGCAGACGCGCATCACCGAATACTTCAATTGATAACGGATGTCCTGTGATTTGTGAATAAATAAGTCTTTTGAAACTCCCCCCTCGTGTGTTAGCTCAATGCACATGCGCCACTGCATAGAGAGCCTTCGGTTTATTTAGCTTGCATTAATTCGAACTTCTTTTAATTTGAACAAATTTTTGGGCCCCTTCGAGTTCGGATTATCGAGATTCGACTGTAGTTTCAACTTTATTATTTCTTCTAGTGCAAACTAGAAACGTCCTCCGTGGCTAAAAGCTGCTGTCAGCAGCTTCACTGGGCTCAGGAAGCATTCTACATGACAGCGCAAGAACCTAAACATTTTCGTACAAAACAGACTTGACACTCAGATGCATGATTTACTAGAGGATGCGAGATTCAATGACACACATTTGCACAAATAGCAAAGCACTCAAAGAAAACATGATCATTTGATTTACATAGTTATGCATGAATATGTCGTGTACATGGTTACATGTTGGCGACATGCATCTTAAGTTCCTTTCGAGATCATTTAGTAGCGTGAACATGAGTAGTTAGAATTTTCGGAAAATTGTGTTTGAGTGATTGCTTGTACTCGGTGTGAAAACGCGGGACAAACCAAGGTTCAGGGTTTCTTAGATGGATAGGTATGTCGTGATGTTTTAAGGTTGCTGCGAATGTAAGCAAATTTCTGTATTCTCTATTCGCAAAATATCTGCAAAGCACAGTATTCGTAGTACCGATCTGCTGGAATGATTTCATATTTTTGTGACAATGTTTTTGTTGCGAGCCGAGGTTCAATATTTGAAATGTGCCGGAGAAGTGCCTTTCGTAACGTAATTATTTTATCTATGTTAGTTCGCATTGTGGTCGCCCATACTGAACTGCAATAAATAAATTGCGAGGTGAACAATGCATGATGAATTTGTAGCTTGGCTTTTGTCGGCATGAAAACTCTACGACCATATAGTACATGGGCGGCTGCAGAAAACTTGTTCTAAAGGTTATTAAAATGAGCATCCCAACTTAAACGGCATGAAAATATAACTCCAAGGATTTTATGTTTGTTAACCAATTTTATATTTTTACCTAAGTGACTAGATGCTCCAATTAAAAAGGTTTATTTCTGACTCTAAAAAGAATTGCTTTTGTTTTGGTGGGGTTCACTTTAATTACATTTTAAAGGGACCTATCTGATCAATCAATCAATAAATCAATCAAATTAGCTTTTATTTCTCATTCATAAGTGTACTGTGCGAAAAACAGATGGAAACCTGAAGTAGAGAATAAGGATAGACAAGTGCACACTATCAACTGAAGCTTTATTGCAAGACCTAGGCAATATATACAGAAAAGAATAAAAAGCAAGGGAGGGCAAAGGGGGAGGAGAAAAAGGCACGAGGGGCCAAATCAACAAAACCTTGGCAACACCAGGGAAGCACGCCCATCATGCAAAACCTAGATAGAAGAACTCGTTATCGTGTATGGTCACAGAGGGAACACTGACGCACGACTCGGACATCTTGCGAATATGCGCAGCCTCAATAAGCTCGCGCACTCTTTGGTTTTTATGTCGAAACAGCACAGAAGTCTCATCAAAGAGCAGCACGCAGCCCCATTCCTTACAGTGGGCTGCTAGATGAAGGTCGGAGTGGCCTTTCAGAGATTTAAAATGTTCTCGAAGGGTAACATTTAGACAGCAACCTATTTGACTCATATTTCTCCTTGAGAAATATGTGGGAGCAGAAAAAAAAAAAACGCATTGCTGCGGCTTGACAAAGCTCCGGCCCCCTGCAATGTCCAGCAGCAAATAGTCAAGTAGAAAAAAAACTTTGCGGGAAATATAACATTTGAATTCAGTGCCCTAGTATATGTAATGGCAACATATAGTAAAAACTAGGTTAAACAACAAAGTATTTTATTTTTCAAGAAACATCATCCGTAATCAGATTCAGTCATGCGATTCAGAAGAATAAAGGGAGGTAAAAGGGAAAAAAAGGCACAATCACAATAGAAAATATTGTAATTTATACTACATAAGTTTATAATTTAGGCCAACAGACTACTATGAAGGCAATGAAAGCACATCAGGAAGAAAATAAAAAAGGAAAAAATAATGAAGGCAAAGGAAATGCCATGCACTAAACAGATACGCATACGCATGTGATTATCATAACGAGATGCTAGTGGAATAACAAACTTTTATCATTACCCGATATGGCCCTGCTGCTAGTGGCTAAGGTACTCGGCTGCTGACCCGCAGGTCACGGGTTCAAATCCCGGCTGCGGTGGCTGCATTTCTGATGGAGGCGGAAATGTTGTAGGCCCGTGTGCTCAGATTTGGGTGCACGTTAAAGAACCCCAGGTGGTCGAAATTTCCGGAGCCCTCCACTACGGCGCCTCTCATAATCATATGGTGGTTTTGGGACATTAAACCCCACATATCAATCAATCAATCATCACCCAATAAAAATGAGCAGATGGTGAGTATTGAAGCCGTCTCAGCAAATATGCCATATTTAGAGTATTTATTTAAAAGTGCAGCTAGTTGGAATGATACCTATTGATTTCCATAGTTCGAGAAAAAGGCATGAGCCAGAGGTCCTGACCTCTTGTGTCGTATGCATAGTGACGTCTTGTTAAACGAAACAAAGTGATGAAGTCTATTTTGTTAGTCCTTATGGCGAGACGATATGGACAGAAAAGACGAAACGCACAGGTAAATTTCACTTTAAGTATGTTGAATGCTTCAAAATAGGGGGCAGTGTGAGTAGCATAGTGGCTATAGCAGGAATTGTTCGCTTTTGACATACACCGAGTTTTTTCAAGTTGTCGGAGGGTGTGTTACCTCATACAAGGTTATAGTATAATGATGGTAAAAATAACCGATTGTATAACAAACATTTAGCTTTTTGAGGTAGTATGGTCGAGCCCACATATAACCGCCCCACTTAAAATAAACTTTTGCTCAAAACGAACAATATCTGCGTGACAGTGAAAATATACATTGGTTCGATGGCACAAAATCGCACTTACAGTGAGGTGCCCATACATTCTCATTGTTAAACGCCAACCCTGCCTCCGCGACCCTCTAGTTGCCACTCTCCCCAGCCCATGGAGGAAGGAAAGTTGTTTCCTTCCTCCATGCCCAGACTGCTTTTTGTTACGCATCCCTCCGTCCTTTGTCCCCGCGCTACTCTGAGCACCCCGCATCGCCAGACGAGGCCCGTGTTTTCACACTGCCACCGATCTTTCGAAGACTGGTTGGCCATCTAACCGGTTTTTGATC